ATATATATACACATATATCTTGATTTTTCTCTTGGCAAATGAAGCGGCACGCATGGAATTCCGATCTAACAACGGTTTTAGGCAAAAGACTTTTGATAGACCGTCGCGTACCTTTACCACAGCATCATATTGTTTTCATCGGGGCAAGACACATGCTGGAACAGTATCTTCTGTTTTTGGAGTTGGTTATGCCGGTGTAATTTTTTGGTTAATTTGACGTGTTGCCGGGAAACACTCTGTAGCAGTCAATCGGCTTTATACTGGCAACTGTTGCAGTCCATTCTTTGGAAGAGACTGCTCTTCGGACTCACATTGACTTTCTGGAGAATTGTTTTCGCCCACATTCTTATATGTTGTATTTGCAAGCATAGAACAATTCTCATACCGCCTCTGCAATAGTTGCCTTGCCTCTCCCTTATGGCCTTTGAATTCACTCATCTCTTTGGTCCGCAATCGTGCAAAGGCATTGAGGGCCAAGGAAGCCAAAGACGTTGCTGCTGCGACCTTAAGAAGGGTAATTATTCTTGTACCGACATTCAAACAAGGTCGAGTCTTTATTACTCAACAACACGCAGCATTGGCCATGGTCCAGAAGAGGGGTCGTTGGTTTGCCAGAATGGTTGTTAGAGGTCATCAATGCTAGATGTCTCGAACAGGCACAACAAAAGTCAGGGCTCGTGGTTTGGCATAGGTTTTCCTCTGTTTTTGCCACCAGAACTTGGAGAAGTCAGAGCCTGATCGAAGACATGGTTGAGGGTGACGGTGTGACGAGCGGCATGACACCAGATGAGTAGGCTCCACTTGAAGTGTGTTTGCATATTTGAGAATACAAAAGTCTTTGGACCCTATGCAGTCGGCCTCGAAACGATACTCCTGATTTTCCACTCTAAGCTGCGGCTTAGGAGCGCCTCCTAAGATGCAAAGATGAGGAGTACCATGCAGTGCCATGCTGTGCTTTCGACCGGGGTCGTTGGGGTCCATTTCCAGGTGAGCAACTGAAGCCTCCCACTGTAAATGCAGATGCCAGGTCTTCTGACGCTAGCAAACCGCGGTTCACTGGCTTGCAAGAGAACAGCACTGATAAAACACATCTCACGGTCCCATTTGCGCACACTGTTTCGATCGATGTGAGGACAAAATCTGTGGTTTGGGTCGGCCCCTCTGGGTGAATCAGATTGGGAAGAGGAAGGCGCATCTCTGCCACCAAGCTGGCGAGGAGTTGGCACGGAAGATGGCCAAAGCCGCTGATCGTTCGGAATGCTCAGGAGTCCACCTGTGGCGGAGGGTTGAAGCAACAGCCTCTTTCCGGACAAACCAAGCACTCCTCAGACTCGTTCCAGGTGCGCATGGTTGAATGGTCTGGTTAGTCTGAAGTGCATTGTGCCTGGCATTGGCTTTCGGTTTTCACACTCCACTCTCACTCTGCACTTGACTCGCTCATGAGCATCATCTTGGAGAAGCATGATGTTAGGTGTCGCGATTCTGGCATACCATTCCAAAAAAAGGTGAACAATTCAGCAAATGATGCTTGCCTGACGTCCATTCTAGCATCCTTCATGGGTTGAAGAGAAGAATTTCCAAGGCTGCCTCCTACTGTTGATGGAAGAAACCCTGCACCATGTGGAAGCCCCAAAACACCCTAAATTCACAAGAGCGACACCTCTCTCCACTTTGTAGGTAATTGGATTCACATGGATTCACTCCGCTTTGCAGGCTGCGTTCGCCGTTTGCGCGTTCGTTTCGGATTTGGACTCTGCACCCTTTCAATCTGCGTTGCTCGGTGCTCTAGGCATCGACGATGAGACTTCGTTGTTGTGGAAGCGGGAGCCCCTGGGGGTTCGGCATCCGCTGCAAGGGACCGAATCTCATCAAATCTCTCGTCTGGGCCTTCCTATGGGTTGCTGGTTCTTCTTTGGATGTTGGACGTGGGAAGTCATGCGAGAGAGAGGAAGTGCCGCGAGCCGAGGCTGTCTCGCGACTTCTACCTCATCAGCAGGACATTGTGCCAGTGTGTGCTGACCGTGTGGGATTCTACTAGACTGTGTATATATATATATATTATATATTTGTATATTATTGTATATATATATATATCACGAAAGCCAGCCGATAGGCAAGGCTTGAGTTTTAAGGGTGAACGAAGTGAATAAAGGGGGTGTTGGGGGTGGTCGCGCAGAGGCCACTTTTGGGAGGTCGAACCTTGAGCCTGGTGGGGGAGAGCGTTCAAAAGTAGGGTCAGGAAAGCATCTAAAAAGTGTTTTGGTGATGCAAGTGATGTAAATGACACCGAGTAGTGCATCATTAGCATCATGAAGGGGTCTGGCGACAATTTGTCTAGTCCTGAGCAGGGCATAGGGACTGTGTAGCTCTGATCATGCCAAGAAGGACCAAGCAACAAAGAGTGAACGCTCCGGGAGCGAACGATGTGAGTATGTCCAGTTGGGCGAGGGTGAACTCAAGGCGGGGGCCGATAGGCAAGGCTTGAGTTTTTAGGGTGAACGAAGTGAATAAAGGGGGTGTGGGGCGGGGTGGTCGCGCAGAGGCCACTTTTGGGAGGTCGAACCTTGACTCCGATCTTGATCTCAGTCGCAATGATACCAGCTCCACGAAACTACAAGCTTTCAACTATAGGTGCTCTGCTATTTTTTCCTCCCGGCCCTGCTCTCTATAGGGCTTCGCATTGATGCACGATACCCGAAACACATTTCAATACAACCACAGAAACCATTTCGGGCATCATTCTCCTGGTGTTCACTGACGTTTATTTTTGCACGGATTCTCAAATAGAACACCAACAAGGGACGCTCTAGAAGGCGCCGCACCAGGCAAATCAAGAAAACTAAAAACATTCAACACTTCATCATTTCATCCTTTCCGATTTTCATCTACGTCGCAGTGTTACCAGCTCCACGAAAACTACAACCATTCAAGAATGAGTGCTCTCCTCTTCTTTTTCTCCCAGCCCTGCTCTTTATAGGGCTTGGCATTGATGCACGATGCCCGAAACACATTTCAAAGCAAGCAAAAACCACCATTCGGGCATCCTTCTCCTGGTCTTCACTGACGTTTATTTTTACACGGATTCTCAGATAGACCACCAAACAGGGACGCTCCAGAGAGCGCCGCGCCAGGAGAATCGAGAAAGCACAAAACATTCAACACTTCATGCTGTGCTCCGATCTTGATCTACTCCACGTTGATACAAGCTCCACGACAGCTACAGGCATTCAACAATAAGTGCTTCGCAATTTTTTCCCCCCCAGTCTTGCACTACCATATTTGTCACTCGCTGGCTTTCGTCCTCTCCTTTCTCAGGTATATACATAGATATGTATATTGTTTTCCTTTGCTTGTCCAGCGACCCCATCATACCCTATGTAGTTTCTGCAACGTCAAGACTTCGATGCAAAAAACTGGCAGCTGGGCAGGAAAAAACAGATCGATCTGGTCGAACGCTTTGCTGGAGAGCCCAGGTTTGTTGGTCTGCTTCGAATTTGAACAGTTGAACCCACACCAACAGTTGAGCCCACACCTGTTTAAAAACACAATACAATAACGTGGTCTCCAACCTAATAGCGATGGCCGCGATGGCCTCCAACCTAGAAGCAGAACACAGCCCGGTGGCCCTCTTTGTGCCCCCTCTTTGGGCATAGCGCTGACCTCCTTTTTGGCATAGCTCGGGGACTCGCTGAGTCATGTGGACACGTCGTGCAACATCTGGGAGGTGGAAAGCGAACGTTTCGGTCACCGCAGCGTAGCGAAGACTGACGCTGTGATCCATTTGTGAGGTGAAAGGCTTCGTACAGCTGCCCTCGTCAGAACAGGCAGGGTTTGAGGCATTTCAGCGATTGGCATGGCACCAAAAGCCGCGATTGCGCATGGTTTCCAAGGAACAGCAAATGAGACACAACCATTTTTTGGACCATTTAGAGAACCAAGTTCCATGTGTGCTACGCGTCTGCAGCCCAAAGTGCACGGGTCAAGGTGTTTTTACAATGGAGACTAGATTGTCCAGAGCTGATCTAGAATGCACGTTTCACTGCGAGAAAGTACACCTGCACAAGATTTGCATTGGTGTGCTGACAGGCCAAAGCAGTTCTGGTGGACGCCTCGGTAGTGAGTTATAGCTCTCAAGTCTCAATAAGGAAAGCCTAAAGAGGCTTAGTCCTCCCTTTGGTCAGATTTTCCTGACTTATCCCATGTTTGAGAATTGATGCTTGGATCCAAGTAGTTCCTTTTTGGACGCATGAGGCGCTTGCACCTCGTGTGCGCCTGGCGCGCCGGGGCTGGGCAGAGGCCTTGCTTTCAAGCCTTGCCTGGTTTTTGTTGTGGCCACTACGTGGTCCCTGCCTTGAAGGAAAGGCTTGTGTAGGAGGTCCTTGCAGGAATCCTTTTTTGGGCAAATCGCAGCTATCTCTTCGTCTATTGAAGCCACGACTGAGAAAACCACACGACAGGGTGCCAAGAAGAGCAAAGATGGGCCGAACGCTTGGTTTCGGCAGTTTCTGGTGCTGCATTTTCGGTATTCAAAGGAAAGGAGTGCCAGCAAAACGGCGGAGCAATGCGGTGCTTTACGACCACTGTAAGAATGAGGAGTGTTTTTCACTTCTGTCTTCTCAAGGGCTCACCCGTCTCGGTTCACCTTCAAGCTCATGTTGTGTTCCAAGGCGAGGGCGGCCGAGTCTTGAGCCAAGTGCAGTTGGCAACCAGACCTCGGGATGTTTTCTCTTGGCTCGTAGCTGGGTCTTTTTCTTTGGATCCTTGTAGGGTTGAAAAACCACGGTTTAAGTGTCTAAGATAGCTTTTTTAGGGGTTGGGTTGACATTTGCATTTCCGCCTGGTTGGGTACTGGCTCCCCCTGCTCACCCAACACTGGAGGTGTGCGCACTGGCGAGGACGCAGCGGGGGGCACCATGGTGGAAGTGGTGACACAACCAACAATCGCCAGCTGAAGCCGGGGCCTGCAGCGTTCAAGTGAAAATCGTTTCTCTTCTGGTTCTGTGGGCTCAAGCGAAAGCAAATCCACCTAGCTGGACCCGCGTTGGTTTGTGAAATCTCTGGATTTTCGACCCTTTTGATGCTTTGTTGGGTGACCTTTGTGGTGTTCGTGCTCTACGCCAGAGCCACAAGGAGATTTTGATCTGTGGCATCTGAGCACTTGAAGTGGGGTGAAGTTGGTGATGCAAGGTCCTGCTGTTGATCCTGTCTTGACGGTATGCACCTGCAGGATCTCACAGTCTGCGGAGTTAGACGATGTGTTGGACGCAACAAATCCCTACTTCAGTATCCAAGCGGCGCAGAAGAAGGTGGTCAACGGTTCCTCGGAGCAAGCTGATTAATATATTGCATGGTGTCCAATGAGATAGTCACAATCTAGGCTTTTGGTTCGCAGTTTGTATCAAGAGAGCACTCTGAATCTTGCGAAACGGTGAGCGCCTGGAGCGGACCAGGTGACCATGGCAGCTATGTGCTTGGGGGCTTATTGGGCCATGGGGCTTACGGCTGGGTCTACAAGGCCACAGATCGGAACAGTGGCAGGTGGGAGACCGTTGCTGATTGTATGTGAAAATAACATATGGGGATGACATCGTAGGGCTACAAGAACAATGGGGTGTTCTGGCAGTGGTCTCAGGTTCCACCAGGTTTCCAATATAAATGTGTTCCGATAAGAATCCATCATCTTCCATTAGAGGTATTTTTCACGCTAACAAGTTGTCACAAGGCTGTCAAGATTGACTTCAGGCTCTTGGTGGCGAAACTCATCGACATCCGCCTGGCCGAGTCGCTGGAGTCCTTTCACACCGAGTACCGCGTGCCTTTTCCAAGCCAGATGGGTCCAAGCAAAGATGAAATGAGGATGAACTTGTCAACTTGTTTGGTCGACTTGCTTTTGCTAGCGGAATTGGTCATTGCTTGCACCTTGAAGCAACAGGGAGGTGGTTGAGGTTGAACAGGCAGCATCCAAAGGCAGGTCCTGTAGAGGGGTGAGTAAGTTTGGATGCTGAGATCTGGAAGCATATGCAGAGCTGCGACGGATATCCACATCCCAATGTTGTGCAGCACATAGAAGTGCTCAAGCTCTCGAAAATCATAGGCGCGCTCTGGGTCACCGGCCAGCCTTCTTCGCCCCAAGACCGGGCATTGGGACCTTACCCAAGACCGGGTGGAGGATGCCAGTCATTGTAATACTTGCGGTTTTCCCACTCGTGGCAGGTGTCGTGATTATGGAGCATGCTGCAGGCGGTAGCCTTTCTGGTACTCTCTACGAAAAAGTCACCGCGGAGACAGCCTCGAGTGGAGTGCGCACGAAGCTGGGAAACGTACCTTGCCATTTCGTTGGGAGAGCTTCTGTGAGCTTCTTGATAACAATAGTGACCCACTGTTTTCCGTGTCGCCAAATGTTGCAAAAGGATTTAGTTGTTTAGTATCCGCTTCGCATTGGACAAATATGCCAAGGTTGTTCATTTTGAGTTCAAGATTAGTTCTACAATGTGGATACGCCTGATTGGGGGGAGAACATCAACCAAGGCTTTGTTGAAACGAGTCCGTTCTTGAGGCACTCCTAACAGATGAAGCGCTTGCCAAGAAACTCTTCGGTCAGCTGGCGGCTGGAGCTCAATGGCTTGCGAGATGTGGGGTGGTGCACAAGGACTTGAAGCCGGACAACATCATGCTTTCGAAGCCCTTCTTGGAAGGCGAAGCTGCGGAGCATCAATTACCAACAAAACTTAGAAGAATTGACCATTGAACACCCCAACACTCGTTGCAGGGACGGCGGACGGCACGTTTCATCTACTGTACATACACTCAACGGAAGAGAGAAGGCACTCCAAGGATCGCGCGGAGCATGTTTTCTTTTTTTTTTCCTGGCTAGGTGGTGTCTTGAAAATCATTGACTTTGGGCTGGCCATGTTGACCAGTGATACTCGAGGAGGACTGAAGGGGCTGTGAATCAGCTGTGGAGCACACCTAGTGCATTCCTAGGTCCTAGAGGGGCACGAGCGGAAACTACAGCCGAGAGACTTTGAGGGGAGGAATTGTGCAAGTCTGGTCAAAACAAAGACACTTGCAGTGGTGGCTATATTAACTTGGGATGCCGAGTCGATGTAGATGCGAGGAGAGGATGATCACTCACCATTTCCATGTCCCCTAGTGTAGAATTGATCAGACCTGCTACACCACACTCTACCCGTTCTTTTTTCACACGCACAGGCTACAAGTTTCTTTCTTTTGATGCGTGTTTTTGACACTCTTGGGGCAGTGACAGCTGAGCAGCAGGAGCGCTTGCAAACATGTACTACAATCTCGTCAGCAGTGTTTGGCCAGGAAACAAGGTACGGGCAGTTCAGGTTGTTTTCATTGTTCAGCGAGAGCACACCAGTTTGCTTTATTTAAAGAAAATCCATGCGACCGAAGAACCTGTTGTGCAGGTGGCAACACGGACCTTCGATGATTTTGCTGTCGGCTTGCTTTTGGCAGAGATTGGAACTGGTGTGCCACCTTATTTCAACCCAGGAAATGACTATGGTTCGACGGCGGAGGGGAACTTGCAGAACGAGAAAGGCATATTCTACATCCTGCAACATAAGACCATTTGTGACAGAGGGCAAGCTGGCCTAGATAAATCCATCAATCCGAAAACGGATCTGGCCCAAGGCGTCGTGCCAATCAAACAGGCAGTGAAGGAAGTGGTGGGACGCTCGCTTTACTACCTGCAGCACGGAAGGCACTTTGAACACAAAAGTGCAACTAAAAATGGGATTGGCAATGTTGCACTTCTGAGACTCGTCATGACAATCGAGACCTTCTTCTAGTGACTAGTGGTCCATGAGAGAGCGAAAACACCGCATTTCCCACACCACGACACACCCATGCCCAGCGGTCGACTCCGGTCTGTTTCTCAGTCGACTCCGGGCCGCCGAGCCGATGAGTCGACTCCGGCGCCAAGGAGGCGTTCGTGGCTCTACAATTCGCAGGCAGCGATGAGTCTCCTGGAGTCATTGACAACCAGTAAGGAGGAGTGCGGGTGAATGGTGCCGGTGAACAGTGATGAGTTAGCGAAGAACCACCTCGTGCTGGCGAATCCACACTTGGTTTTTGTTCAGTTCGTGTTCTTCCGAGACGGATCGGCCTCAGGAGCAGCGTGCAGATCTGCGGACGTTGATGTCTTGGCCTTGGCTCCAAGGTGAGGGACCTGTGGAGCCCCAGCAGCTCCGGGAGCCCGAGGTGTGGTGAGGACTGATTCCCAAAAGGACATGAACAACTGGTTGGCCCATGAAATCTGTTTTTGGAGATCTGTGTTGATGTTTAATCTTCTGCGCCCAATGGATTCAAGAACATGCAGGTTTTGGGTGTTTTCTGCTCTGCATGTATGTATGTATATATATATATATGTACACCTCTTCGGTTTTTGTAAGGCTCCTTTCCTTCTGTGGCACGGTGAGCCCGGGCTCCTGTGGTAGAAGGATTCCATTGACTGTCCCTTGAGGTGATGGAGCAGCCAGAGCCAGAGCCGGAGCTAGAATGGGAGGACGAAGAGGCCTTTGGAAAAGCTTCTGTGTTTTCAAAAGCATGGCTGTATTCACTGACTGCGTTTGCAGTAAGCTGACTGAAGCTGACCAAGAGTGCAACAATAACATGGGTTCGTTGATATACCTCGATAAGAGCCATCCATCCCAGTGTAAGCCATGAGGAGGAACTCATAGACATTAAAGCAAGCCACCCAGCCTGTTGAGGTCCCAGAGGTTGAGGAAGAGCCTGAGAAGGCCGAGTTGTGAGATTTTGGAGCAGTTTCTTATCATCCCACAGTACATGATCAAGTAAGGCCAAAGTAATCGGCAAGAACTTCCCTTGGCCTGAAGTGCACGCGCCCGCCAAACACGTTTAGTTGAGCTAATGTAGCTTCTCAAGCTTGTGGTTTGGAGCCGCGAGTATCAACCAGAATAACCTTACTACTAGGAGCAAGGACGCTACTAGCACCTCCTGGCCGTACTACTAGGAACAAGAAGCTACTAGGGGCTCCTGGCATCGCTACGAGGAGCAAGGACGCTACACATAAATCCATGCTTTCCTTGCCGCAACAGGAGGAGGATCTTGATGTCCTGTCTGAGACAGAAACCGCACCGGCGCTGGTGCCAACGGTGAATATGTGCAAGAACCCCTTCAAGGACACGGGACCTGCTTTTTGCAGGCCAGACATCAATGTATATATGTATATTCTAATCGTTTAGCCGGAATGATGGATTCCTGTAAGTCGCTGAATTGAAATTCAAGTGCATGCTGGAACCTTCAAGGGAGAATACACACTTATGTATATACATATTTACATACACACTGTATTTTCCATGATCTCTCAACCTACAACCGTGCGGATCTTCGAATCTCGACCATCCGTGTTGGTATGTTTGCCAAAAACCAATTCAGTATCCATCCCTGGAAGGAAAGTGGTCCAGCATCTATTTGCAAGGTGCGTCACAGTTGGAGCCCTGGGGACTGCTATGTGAACGTCAGCTGCAATGGTGCTCCGAAAGAAATCAGGAAGCTTGAGCAGGGCTTTGGAGCTGGGACCGTGCCAAACTGCAGGAATTGCCGCCTGTGACTGTGAGAAGGTGGATTCAGGGCCAAGGCCAGTGATAGAACCATCATGTTTCTGAGTGAGCTCTTGAAACTCGTCCTATTCTTGGAAGGTGCTGCTCGGATTTTGGAAACCCTTTCAGAGAGAAAGAGAAAACACCGCGTCCAGTTACGCGGGTGCAGCGCAACTATGGCTGCTATGTCGGATAGTTCATCTCCCTATAGGTTGCAGTCTGCAAGGGTGTCACGAAGTATTCTGTGGCATTCTGCAGTGTTTGAGGGGAAAAATGGAGTGCTGCACTTGGGATCGCTGGCCAATTGCGAGAGACTTTCTGGTTGCGCTCACGCAGGAGAGTCCCAAGGCTGGCGACCTGTGCTTTCCACCTTTGGTCGGAGTTGGGCTGCCCAGTGGATGTGGGGGTTGGGGAGGCCTTTGGGCACTTTTTCAGGCAGAAGTTGACTCTGACCGACTGTGACAAAATAGAATGGGACCTTTAGAAGACTGTGAAGACCCCAATGTTTCTCCTGGCCTACTTTTTCGGTCACGGAGACCAATGGAAGAGGCGCGCAGGAATTGGTAAGACAATATATATGGTTCCAAGAATTGGTAGGAAGGACAGCAGTGGGAAGAGTACTCGAGGTGTGCTGTGTGTTGATAATGCGCATTCACCATTTTTTAGCACCGCCTCTTCTCCTGATAGCTATGATGCAGTTCGCTTTTTGACAGAACATGTTCTGACTGGACAGCCAAGCGTGCTTGAGGCGAGAGGAAGGCGTGAGGCTGACAGGCCTGGAAGTCGAAAACGAAGGGTCATGCGCCAGTTGTTGGTTGTCGGGTCATGCGAGGTCAGTCGTCTCGACAGAGCACTTTCCATGACAAGGTATTGAAGTCCATGGGTAACCCTACGCTTCGAGACACTGTCGAGTATTGCCAGGTGGCACTCAAGACAACATTGGATTCAACTTAGACTAAGGAGTCTGATGGGAAGCAGAGTGTAGTCTTCAGCAGCCTCACGACGAACCCAGTGTCATTGAGGGTTAGCTGCACATCATCCCGGTGACTTGTTGTTCACAGGTACACCCTGGCAAATACACAAGAAGGTGTGTTGGTGTATATGTAGAACAAGAAGGAGACTTTCTTGCTCATGTGTGGAGGTCAAATCAACGACCGCAAAAAGGTTGAGTTGGCGCCGATGAACAAGTAATATATCCAGGAGGTGGGGTTGACAGCTCTCGACCTGCCAGCTCTGTGGTGGCACTCTTGGATCAGTTGGATTCATCGTGGGGATGCTCAGGTGAGGTGGCGATGTCCACTGAAATTCATCCGAAAGACATTGGATTGGGGCCGGGGTAGAAACAGCCTGTCAGCTGCCCTCATCGTCACGTAACTTCAGTGGACCTCTGGCAACAGAGGGGGGGGAGAGAGAGAATTGTTCCAGTCTTTTTCCAGGGTCTATGCGTTTCAGCTTTTTGCTGCTTTGGATAAAGGGGACCGAAAGCAGTACATTACATGGTTGGGCCACGCGGGGTCTCTTTGTGAAACTTTGTTTCTTTAGAATCATAGGGCGAAGAGTCGACATGCCGCTACGT